AGTATTTGGCTTAACAAAGGAACAGCTGCTGTATATCAGCAGTTTGTTCAGCAAAGTGCTGAGGGCATTTTTTTCTGCATCCAAAAATATTAGTGGCCATATATATATGTCCTGATGACTATGTGAGTCAGAGTCACTTGATTTTTTTCTTAAGTGAGGCTTTCAGTGATCAAAGGAGGAAAAAATAAGCATCTTCTGGCCTTTTATCCCACCTTCAATCTAAACTTTTCAAATTGCTTTGAAAACACCAAGGAAAACTACACAACTCCACTAAGAGGTAAGAAGAGAGTATTAAGCAACCACGCTGCTCACCACAGAAACTGGTCTAATAGTGAGCAGCAGCTATTTAATAGCACACCCCCATGATGCAAGACAGAAAGAAAAATACTGCATGCAATTAAAATGGATGAGAAAAAGTACGATATAATAGGAAGTAATAATTAATTTCAGAATTTGGCAAAACCAATGACCCTATTCAGCTCACACCATTAAGATCAATAAGGGCACAGCTTGTCAAGAATTCAGTTTTACACTGAATTTGAAAGATGACATTTAGATAAGTGCATTTCCATCAGATCTAGTCTGGCTTCTTACTTTACCACCAGTTTGAATAACCCTTCAGAAAAGCACCCATCATTACAAATAGGGGTGGACCACTTGAAGCACAAATTCAAGGGTTTTACAGATCTCAAACTCTCATGGGGTAAGAAATTTCCTGATTCAGCAGTCTTCCCTCTCTTACAGGACCTGAGACCTTCTGGAAGGTCCCTCAAAGTCCCGACTTGCTCCTACATCAATGGCTTGTGCCCTCACTCACACAAGGAGCAACAGGCTCCTTGGACACATCAGCTTTTGCATCATGTTTCAGGGATGGCTCCTTACAGCTGTTGCTCACCAGTGACCACCGTCACCAAATGGGGTGAGCTTGCTTTCTAAGCCAGCATCAGTACTGACACAGTTCATTTCTCCAGCTTAAATGTCAAAAACTTGGCTCCCCTTGGGTCATGCCAAAATAAGACCTTGTAATCCCATGCCCTGCCTGCCGGGGAGAGCTGTTTCCAGCCATCCAAGTGGAGATCATTCTGCTTTTTACCGAGGCCCTTTGGACACCTGCATCCACCAACACAGCGTGGGAATGAAGCAAAACCAGGGAAACATCCTTTTAGTTGGGTCTGGCTTCAACTGTGTGACCGTCAAGCTCCTTTCCCAGCCCCTCTGTGCACCACACAATGACATCGTCCTTGGTGTGTGTTACCAGCACGGGAACAACGCCAACATGTTTGACAACAGTTGGTAAAATGAGTCATCCTGCTTTGGATATTTTACCCATCCCTCTGGCTACAAATCACAAACGTTTACCTGTTCACTGTTAGAAATTAAGGTCACCAGATGGCATGGTTTGTCTCTGATAGTTCTGGTTTTTTTCCTTAAAACATTCCGTTTTCAGCTGAGTTTGGACAGGGAAAGCAGAGCAGAAGAACCCCAGGACACGGAGATTCAATTAAAACAAAGTGTGGAGCCCTCCTTGGCCCCCAAACTCCGCTCAGCCACAGTCAGGACAGACCAACCATCAATGTTGCTCCTTTCCTGAGGATTGAGTTTCCTGATTTTGCACTGATTATCTAAATGGGACCCAGCTCAGATCCTCAATCACATGGTCTTTATATCAGCTTTGAAACACCCATTTTACTTCACCCACAGTTTTAAACAAAAGATCATCAGCTCCTGTCAAAACACCAGAGCAAATGACAGCCCCATCTTTGCCTGTGCATTTTCCTGCTGCCAGAAATAGCAATCCCTGCCCCTCTCGAATGCATGCCCTTATTGTCAAGCCAAGCTGACAGCTCCAACAGGAGTAAGAGCTGAAGGATTTCCACAAGTGCTTCACTCCCCTGCATCCCCCATCCACCTCGGCATCTCTCTGACAGACCTGGAAACACGTATGTGCTGTTGTATCAGCATTAAAAAAAAAAAATTATATATATACACATGTATATATCACTTTTTAGTACTCTTGAGAAGACAAAAATCTGAAACATTCCAGGGCAAAAACTAGACAGTACATAAAAAATGCTGGACGTATCTTCACTTTTACGCCCACCCATCACCGCTCAGCTCACAAAGCTGTGGGGCGCAGGCAGGAGCATGCTGTACCCCACCGCTGCCCGCACCACGAGGAGCTAGAAATGACCTGCCCAAACCAGCCCCTGGTACCCACCCCGGGGCCTCCCACACCCCACACCGTGCCTCCCCACGGGTCACACAGGGGCACCACACAGCCACCTCGCCCCAGCATCCTCGTCCCCAGCCATCCCACCACCCCCCACGGCAGGGCCTGCCTCAGCGCCCACAGACCCCATAT